AGCAAGCGGTGCCATAAGACAGTCAACCTATCGCTAATCAGTGCCAACTGGGCTTTCTTGCCGTTAGCACCTGTTATAAATACTGATGGACCGACAAGCCGAGAGCCAAGGCCACTCATTTCGTCATGGTCCGCACAATGGTTGTTTCGCTTGAAGTACGTTTGAGAGCGCTGCAGTACGGTAGTACACGAGCAATGACACGTGGTTTTATTTCCCACACCGTGGGCGTTGTTTCTTGATCCAAGTTAACTAATTAAGCACAGGACAAAATTATCCCAACGAGCACCGCATGATAGAGGAGCACATGCACTTTATTTTGCGGTGGTTAAGTAACTTTTGTTCAACATGAAGGTGTTTTATTCTCGGGTCCACCGAGAATCCGTGATGTATTTACGTCACCCATATGACGTTGTAAAACATTTACCAACAGATTGCAATCAAAAGACGAGAAGGAAAGGTTCCGGAGCGGTGGGTGGAGCCAGCGGCCTCACGTTCCTCAGCGTCCAGCGCTAACCATTACACTACAGAGCGACCCTTCTCCAACATGGTGCTGAACTTCCCGAGCTATGGCGGTCCTGACAGCTCAGAAACTTAAGCTTGTTTTAGTAATCAGTAGCGAGACGACACGATGGGCGGGTGTTGGGATCGCTTGCTCTAAAGGCCGTTGAGCCGCCCTACTTCGTCGCTATGCACGCGCCTCCACATGGCGTGGTCAAAGTACGTATAGATGTTTTCTAGCGTTGTGGCTCACTCACGCGCGCGCTTATCTCGGGATTCAGGTGCTTCGTACTTCTTGTGCTTCTAAGACAGTCTGCTTTGAAGGTATAGTAGTTAGAGAGAACGTGGACGTCATTTCACTCGCTGCCATGTTCATGAAAGGAATTCGATGCACACACATGATGCGACTGTTGTGGCAGTTGCTTGTTCGTGCTCGTCATGTGTGTGCTCATTTCGTGCGTGCGCTCTACTTGGTGTGCGCCTCAAGTTTCGAGTTGCTTGCCGTTCTTCGCGTGACATTGCAATTTGTTACTGCAGCATTCATTTCATAACCCGTGTGGTGAAACAATGCACAAGGAATGATCAACTACATCTGCGATGAAACGTTTCACTTCCGTGTTATCATAATCATCATCAGCCTGACTACATCCACTGCATGACAAAGGCCTCCCCATGATAAACCAGTCAACTCCGTCCTGTGCTTGCTGCTGCCACTTTATAGGCGCAATCTTCTTAATCTCATCTGCCCACCTAACTTTCTGTCTCCCCCTAACCCGCTTGTCTTCTCTAGGAATTAAGTTACCCTTAATGACCAGTGGTTATCCTGTCTACGTGCTCCATGCCCGGCCCATGTCCATTTCCTCTTCTTGATTTCAGCTATGATATCCTTAACCCCCGTTTGTTCTCTAATCTCTGTTAACTTCTTGTCTCTTGCTGCGTTGTCCTCAAATTAAGCTGAACCCTCTTTGTAAGTCTCCGGGTTTCTGCTCCGTAGCTAAGTACCAGCAAGATACAGCTGTTATATACCTTCCTCTTGAGGTATAGTGGCAATCTACCTGTCAATATTTGAGAGTGCTCTCCGAAATATGCTCCACCCCATTCCTACTCTTCTAGTTACTTCAATCTTGAGGTTCAGCTCCGTGGTTATTAGCTGTCCTGAGACATATTCTTTTACAACTTCAAGGGCGCTATTACCTATCTCGAAGCACTGCTCTCTTCCGAGGTGGTTGTACATTACTTTCTCTTTCTGCAGATCTTCTTAAGACTCTCCTTTCTGCTCTCCTTGTCTAACTCCGTAATCATGAGTTCCAATTTGTCCCCTGAGTTCCTCAGCAACGCAATTTGATCGGCGAAGCGCAGGTTACTATGGTGCTTCCTAATAAATCTTATCCCAACTCTTCCCATTATAGAAGCAGTGATGGCGTAGTGGTTAGGGTGTCAACCTCGCGTGCAAGACGTGATTCCAATCCTGGTGCTGTGAAGTTTCCAACCACATTTAAAATTATCTGCGCCATGATGGAATGGAATCAAGAATCTAGGGGTGCGGCCTCAATGGTGACCACCGCCTGTAACGCACTCCCTCACCAGAGAAAGATTGGCCACACTTACTGGCACAGTATCTGGCCACTACCTCCCACATGCACACGTCAATTTCGTGTTATACCGATTTTTAAAAAGTGAATTCAACCACGTTTTTTAAATACTTGGTTCTAGTTACGTGATACTAATCAGGCTGTCATTAACTTGATTAGAATATGTGCTATACCTAAATGATGCCGGCGTATGTAAATATTTTTTTGCTGGTTCAAAGTGATAACGAGTAAAATGTTGCTTCAACGGTCACATACAAGCGTGCACTTTAGCTCTCCCAGGGATTTTTGTGTGACGTAAGCAAGTAGCATATGTTTGAGAGCATTACACATTTTCATGGTTTCTCATGGTGCGTAATAAACGGTACTGCAATCTGCCTTGATGTCTAAGCGCTAGTACTTCACCGAAGTTTTCGATGCTCGCTTTCTTTTAAGGTCGATTCTTTTTTCAATTCAAGATTAGATTTGCACGTTACGCCAACTTCGGCGTTTTCGTCCATATTTGTTCTCGAGAACTTTAGTTTTTTGCTTATTCTGCATTGCAGGTCAAGTTCAAAAGCAAGATCAACCACCCCAACATCGATTGGGACGGCAACATTTGCCTCAACATGCTCACATCGATTTGGACTCTCGCTCAGTCCATTTCCAAGCTTCTCACTGCCATTTGCTGGCTGATGAGCAACCCGAGCGTCACCGACCCCCGCGCGACCAACGGGGCCTCCGGCTACCGGAAGAATCGGGGCCACTGCAAGAACACGGCGCGTGAGTGGACCAAGAAGCACGGCTTCAGGAAATGACCACTGCTATCCACACGAGCCATGCCAGCTGCAGCATGCAAACTCCTCTCATGCTGCCTAGCTTGAGGACACTTCAGCTTAAAACACATTCAGCTGTCCAAAAAGCTTCCACAGTGGGCATGTGCTGTTCTTTTTTTTAATTTTTTTTCTTGTACGTGGATAGCCCCAAAGGTGCATTTTCAAGCTAATAAAACAAAGGTCCACTTTCGCGCGCGGCTAACTTTGACACCTTATTCATTGCTGATGTCGCAGTTGTGTGCAAAGCAATCTGCTTTCATGATGAGAATTTTCGCTCCTTCGTATACAGCCTGATTAGTTAAGACCTCGCTTCGCGGAAATTCCGACGTCAGCGTCGGTTTTGTTGTGAGTGAAAAAACATCTTGTCTATGACCAAAAAATCGAAATGTGCAAATGAAAAGTGAGCGACTTTTAAGCGTGGCCTTTAGGAGTTATTTGAACGCGATAGCTATATCCTGTTCTTTGTGCGTACTGAGTACAAAACGACTTGTGTCAGTGCAGGTTTCGCATTCGGCTGCATTTTGTGTATTGAGTAGCAGCTTGGTAACGAGCTAGTAAGCAGTGCAATTAACATCTTATATATGCAAATATTCAAAATGAAACAAATCAATATATACATTTTTTCATATAGAGTACCCAGGAACAGTACGAAAATAATTAAGTGTTGTAGGAAAAGTTTCCATTCACATTGACAAAGAAAATCGGAATCAAGGTGCTGCTTCATTGGTCTTGCCATGCGGTGAAGCATTGCATGGTCTTAGAGAGAAAGCTGTTATGAGATCACAATACGGGTCACGCGCAGCGCCGTAGTTGTCCGCAACCGCCGCCGCCGGTGTCTGTAACTATTGCTGCACAAAATAAGGAAGGAAACTCAAATGAAAAACACCAAATACTTGTGGTGTCATAGTCAGATTAGAACCCTGGTCCACTGCGTGCCAGTGACGCATGCCAGTGCTTGTGATTCGTACACAAATTTTCTTTAAGCAGGCTTGATCTCAGAAAAAAGATTGCGTTATATGAGCAATAAGGTGTTTTAGAACGGCAAAAAAAAAAAAACGGCGTCACATAATGCGAATAGCGTGAGGAGTGGGTCGTCCATTACTCCAACACATTACAAAAGCTTGTTCTTCATCACCTGTGGCACATACCCACTTCAGGCGCAATTCTTCATCGTCGTCAGCTACTGAATGAATCACAAAATTCGTTACAGATGTTTAGCGGATACCACCCGTCTCCGAAAAATGGCGAAGGGTAGCATACTAAATGCCGGCCTAATATGCTGAAATTATGAATATTTTGGCATAGTGAATACCAAGCAATGGTGCTTCTAGCATTTACACAAAAATTGTTAGAAAAGCATATGAAAGGCCTTTGCTGTGACTGTGCTGTGCTTCCGCGCAGGCCAGGAGGTTTTTTTTTTGTGACACAAGTGAACTCGTACAAATTTCTCAGTAAATTTTTGTTTTTATTTACGTTGAGAGCCTGAATGTGTTCAAGTATAGTATGAATTCTCGTGGTGTGAATAATCCTTCTGTACATAATATGTCCAATGCACTTCGCTATTTTGTCTAGCGTCAACTCTCTCTATGAGCCGCCTCACTTCGCATTAGTTGGCGTCCAATATATGCATCCAATCATATTTCTCTGCATTTCGCACCCTGTAATAAAAAAAAACTATCGCACGCAGTTCTGAAACGTTTGATCTGCTTCGCCGTCCAAGCCGAGATGTCCTCTGGTGGCCTTCTTGTCATGAGAAAAGCTCTGCAGCCAGCGCCAGCACATCGCACCCTATAGCTACGTATGGACCTCGCACGTAACCACAGTGCCCAAAGGTCAGCAGCTACACACTTGCTGCTGAGGAGGCAATTTGAGGTACACACTTGCTGTGGAGGAGACAACTTGAGGCCGTAAATAAAACAAACTCATGAATGGCTGCATATGTGTCAGGCTGACGCATAACATCGTCGCCATCAAACTTGAAGCGAAGGTGTTGTCATCATCGGATTCTTTAGGCTCGTCTTCACTCAATTCAGATGCGGTTGCAACACAGTTTTGAGTGGCCCTATTTTTTTTTTGTAGCGCAAATGCGCACTCATACGCGCGTGACCACGGCGCACGTAAGAGCCACTAGTGACACTAGTTGCGGCTCTCTGTCTGATACAACAATAGAAGCGAAACCAAAGCAGCTGGAAACTGACTGAAAAGTTCACCTCCACTCTTCAGACACACGGAAGACCTTCGGAGATACTTTTTGTGGAATAAATTTTCCCTGACTCCTAGGCAAGAGCTCACCGATGACTAGCTGGCATAAATTTCTGGCAAATATTACTGCTCTACACTGTCATATTGCGAAGCTTGCACCTTAGCTTGACAGTTGACTTGCAAAAGTGCTTTTGATTAGAGAACTTTGATGTTACTGTAGCATAATCACGACGGGCACAGACTTCTGTCCAGTTCGCCTGTCAGGTGCATTTCAATTTGCACGCACATTGGTTCGCGCAAAGGTCCGCTGAAAAAACTATGCTGCCAAAACCGGCAAATTCAAAATTATCCTGAAAGTCAGTGACTGGAATAGGCAATTAGAAAGTGCTGGGTGCACGAAAAACGTATTAACATTTCCAAATTGACGATGTAAGCGTCAATTACCGGTGATCTATTTGACCAGGCGTGGTAGCAAAAGTGTTAAGAGAAAAGGTGCAGTAACGTGTGTGGCTTTCGTAGTGAATGACCCACTTTAAACAATGAATTCATGATAATCGCACGTTATGACGGCAGATTGTAATAACCGCTTGTACCACGCTTTATTACGGTGATATTACATATTGCCTAGTGAAGCATGCATACAGGACGCATGTGTGTATAAAGCATGTATCTTACTTTCGCTTGCATTTCCAAGCAGAGAAAGTTATTTTCACTGTAGTCCCAAACAGTCGTGTGACTCTGTGGTAGAATCCTTGCTTGCCCCGAAAACTACCTGGTGTCGAACCTCACTCAGAACCACAAGTTTTATTGACAATTATATTTGCATCTTTCTCGATTGTTCGGTCATGCGCAAGATGATGATTTTTCACTCACATCCGCCGACCCCAGTGCCGACACCGACCCCAGCATTTTTGCGAAAGGAAATCTTTAACGCTATCTGTTAATAATAAAAAAAACGGCAGATCCCACCTTGGGAATCGTTGTTATTCGAAGCAAGCGGAGGGAAGGTTCTTTTGTTGTAATTTTATAATTGAAAAAAACGTTATCAAATGGCGCTAAAAGATATGTACAAATGTAGGCACAGACGTTTGTTGAATAGTTGTGTATGTTTTCTACAGCCAGTTGTTTACATTTGCGTGAAGATGCCAGCAGGAACATGAGTAATACCAACACCAGAAGCAGTAAGCTGATCTGTAGCGCTCGTGCTTGCGAGCTTGTAGCACTGGATAGTGGTACATAAACCAATTTCTATTGGAAGGCTCTCAACTACTAACGACGTCGACGTTAACCAGATGTGACTCGCTACTATATGAGTACATATGTAAAGTGTGTTTGGCAGAACTGCTACCACAGTTGATGTTTCATCAACATTATAAGCTTGCATTAGTGTTTTTTTCTCCAGCAGTTTCAACACCAGAAGTGGTTTCGTGGTAAAAGACTGGATTGCTACGCAGTATGTTGGCTTCGAACCCTGCTGTGACCCTGATAGTCATCGTTTGCATTTGTCGAGTCAATGCTTCTGATGCCAGTTTTTCTTACCGCTCTCGCATTTACATTACCCACGTCTGTTTTTGCCGTTCCTGGGCAAGTATAAACTGTATCACCCATGGCAAACAACCTGCAGGCCTTGGCACGCAATATATGGGTATATGCCACAGGATTTTAGAGGAAAATTTTGACGACGTACGCGGCAGAATCTTTATATTATTCTTGTCATGATCTGCATACATATTCATGAAACCTTCTTACCTATCTATAACAATTTCTATCTACCCCAAGTTGAGAAAGCAACGAGGAGCACCCAGACGTAAGCGACCAGATAGATAGACAGATACGTTGATAGAACCGCTCAAAGTACCAGCAGTTCGCAAGAAAAGACTTCACTAATAATCATCAAACTATTTGGCACAAGTCAGAATGAAACTCAAACTATCTGCGTGACCACCAGATTTTTTATCACACACCCACACTTTCACTGCAACAACTGTTATGAGAACACAACTAGGGCTGTTTCGGCACCGTTTAGTTGTCCGCCGCCGGCTGTGTCCGAAACCGCTATAGCACAAAATGAGAAAAGTTCAACGGAATAAGCAAAAATATCCAGGGTAGAACTGGGTTTGAACGTGGGTCCGCAACTGTGGGAGCCCAGTGTTCTATCATAGAGACCCAACTGCATGTGCTCAGAACACTTTCACAAAAAGAGCTTATATCGACGTAAAGTTGGAAAGGGACCGCGTTAACATGTAAGAAAGAAGTGCCATGTTAAGGGCTCGTTTTTCTTTGTTAGACACAATAATAATTCGAACTAACACACAATGATGCCGAGGGATGTATAAGAGGTGGTATTAAAAGTAACTGTAATGTAAATGTGAAGAAAGTGGATGAAAAACGAACTTGCCGCCGGCAGGCACCGAGCCTGTAACTTTCGAATAACGCGTTCGATACTCTACCAGCGGGCTACGACGGCGGTCATCGCTTCATCTACTTTATAGGGTGTATATGAAAATTTAAGCGCAGAAGCGTCAGTCAGCGCCGCCAGCCATTACGGCGAGTGTCAAACCCTTATTTTTGCAGTGAAACCTCTTATGAGATCAAAACAGGGGTCAAATCTGGTGGTTCCGCCACCGCTGCCGGTGTCTGTAGCCACTATCACACGGAATAACAGCAAAAACTAACCAAATAAAACCCCGAGGACAAAATGAGAATAAAACAGGGTCTTGTGCGTGACAGGCGAATACTATACCGTAGAGCTGCACTGGTGCTGAAAGCTCCGTTGAAAC